CTTTGGCTCTTTCAGCCCAGGGGTCCTCAAACTACAGCCCGGCCCACCAGGTGTTTTTGCCATCGCTGCCTGGCCTGCTTAGCAGCCGACTCGTCCAGTGTGCATAGGAATTTGTTCTTTTTTTTTTTTTTTTAACTATAGTCTGGCTCTCCAACGGTCTGTGGGACAGTGAACTGGCCCCCTTTTTAAAAAGTCTGAGGACCGCTGTTTCAGCCTGAGAAGTGCCGTGCGTATCTCATCCCCTTTGGTTTTCTAACTCCAGGTCTTTGCACATTTCCGTATCATACTTTACTCTGTCTTCTTGAGCTGTCTTTTGAAATCTTCTGTTCGGCTTTTACTTCATCATTTCTTCTGTTCACTGTAGCGACTCCATATTACATTGCAACTTTCAAACACTGCAAGTGGCATCCACTCTATTATTTTCTCTCCCTTTGACTCTTTCTCCTTTCCTCCCTCCCTCCTGTCCTTTTAAGGACCCTTTACTTTGTTTGTGTATAATGTCCTTGATGTCATCCCACATCTGTCTGGTCTTTGGTCCGTGAGTCCCAAAGTATATTGCACCTGAATATAGGGACCATCTCAAGTCTAGATTTGATGCATTGAGCACCACAGGTTAGAGAGTAGAAATTTCTAGAGGCTTAAGCAGGGAGCAAAATGAGACTCCTTCTCCAGTAAAGATTTACTGCCTCAGAAACCCTTGAGGGCAGTTCTGCCCTGCTCTCTGGGATTGCTGGGTGTGCATGTATAAGCAGAATTTTGCACCTGATGGGTGAGAGTCTTTGAGTGGAAATGAAGAAAGTGAACAGGGAGGCTATGTGGACTAGAGAAGGACAAGCAAGCGTGGATGTACAATGAAGCTTTGTGTCAGTCTGGGTGGACTAGAGAAACAAATTCATAGACACTCATGTGTCTATGAAAAAGCTTTATATATATGAAGAGTAATTATATATTAAGAAAACATCCCAGCCCAGTCCAGAACAAGTCCATAAATCCGATATTAGCTCATATGGCCAATACCAATCTATAAATTCCTCTTCAAACTCACGCAACACATGCAATGACGCCAAATGCAGGAAGATCACAGGCCAGTGGGTGGAGTCCTATGGATCCAGTGGTAGTGGAAGCACCTCAATGCTGGCAGGTATCTCCACATGGCACCTCCACCTCCAGGGCTCTAGCGTGCTCCATGTGTCTTGTTATCAGGGAGACGAAGCAGAGAGTCTGTGTCTGCCCTCCAGGGAGCTGTTTATCTCCTCTGAGCCTCCAGATGAGGTCTTCAAGCTGCGACCTGGTTGACAGGCTAGACTCCACCCCTTCACAAATTGACAGGAGATATGTAACTACCACACTTCTAGACTCTTCACTTGTAGATCTCTTCTGTGAGGTACAGCCTCACAATTGAACAGGTCCAAGGGGTGGTTGTGTAATTGAGGGGCAAAATTAAAGAGATATCAGACAAGCAAAGGCATGCGAATGCTTACCTCAGGGACGGCCATGATCTCAGCAGCAAGGTCCACGCAGAGAGCGTGAATATATTTTCAACCAAAGCTTATGTTCACTTAGGGGGCGCGCAAGCCCCCTAATTACAGGTAACCCACATTCGTAACAAGAAGGGGTTGTGCAATAGGCATAGGTGCTACAGGATGGGGATGAGCTAGGGCTGTACAAGCAATTGGAAGGGGCGGCACCAGGGGCACACATGTGACAGAGAGGCATACACAAAGCAAGATGGGCATACACTAGAGTCAAGTGGCAGCTTAACCTTGGTCCTCCCTGAGTTGGCTTGACCTTAGTCTTTGGGCTCTCCTTCAGGGCAACAATCCATTTTCCTTATCAGAAGGGAGTGGGCCCTACTTAGGTGGGACAGACTGTAGGGTCTGATGGCTCTAGAAGGCCGATAACTCTCAGGGAGATAACCTTTAAGCAGTTGACCTCCAAGTGTATAGTCATTGACCACTGGTAGCAAGCAGCATCTTAGGTTTGGCATATATTATGGGGGGACAACCTGGGGGAAAACTTTTCTGTTTCCCACACTCTTCTGAGGCCATGGGAGAGAGCCTAGCTGTTTTGTATTTATAATTGTACTTTTTTTTTTTACATAAAGAGCAGAGACCTCCCCTGTGGGGTCTGAAGCTGCATTTCTTTTTTTTCCTATTTGAATAATTTTTAATTAATAAAGAATAGGGATGCTTATAACTATATGTGGGGTAACATGAAGGTCAATACATAAAGAAAATTATTAGAATCTACCATAAAAAGGACGTTTGCGGTGGCCACGACCCCCACACCACTGGAGGTTAGTCATGGCTGCGGCGGCAGCCAGACTGGCCAGCATCTGGCCGCTGAGCGCCGGTTTTCGGTACTCAGTACCCTTCTCCTCCCTGCTTAAAAACACTAGTCACATAGCTGCCTTTGCAGTTTCCAATCTGCTCCTGGCTGGTTGACCATTGTGCCTGTGGGTGAGGCAGCTGCAGCAGTCCTCTGCCAGTCATTAGCGTCCCAGTACTTGAGCTGCACATGAGCAGAACAGCAATGAGCGGCAGTCAGAGGACGTTGAGATGGCAGTGAATCAGGTGAAACGCTCGAAGAACGAGCCAGGAAATGAAGTGAAGCTAAAGCTCTACACACTGTATAAGCAGGTGACTGAAAGACCTTGTAATATGCTTTCAAGCAGCAGGAACCTTGTCCTCCAGCGGAGGGGCGATGGCTTCCAGCCACTGACCTTATAAGCAGGCGAGCACAACTCATAAGCCACTACACTACTAGGGCACGTTGGACCCCACGTGCTTAAAATCGACCGGTACCCCGTGGATTTTCAGTAGCTGATCTTTTAGAACGAAATCTCCCGGCCTTTCTTAAGGGACCTCTGGGTAGAGTCCAATAGCTACCTTAGTAATGGCATGCAGGACCGGTGTACCGCCCAGGAACCCTTCCTATTCCTGGGAAGCCTGACTCCAAGCGTGGAGGCCAGGCAAGGATGAATGCATGCCTGTGATGGCACACGCTCGTGGCAAAGCTCTCGCTGTGTGCCCACGCCGGAGAAGGCATGGCGGGCGGCTGCCAGGCAGGGCTGAGGAGCAGAGTCAGCAGGTGTGAGAGATCGCAGCAGCTGAGGCAAAGAGGCCTGGAAATAGGAGGAGTTTGGGTGGCGAGAAGTTGGTGCCTTTTCGTATAGTACCTACCGTCTGCCTGGCACTCCGGGTCCAGTGGTGAACAAGACAACAGGCAGTTCCAGCCGACGGAACAGGAGAGGAAGGCGCGCACTGGCAGGAGCCTGGACCACTCCACAAAGGATGTCTGAGGACCTGGGATGGAGCGCGCAGCACAGGGAGGGGCCCACCAGGGTCCGAGGAAGACTTTGGAACTTTATCAAGGGGGCATAGGAGCTGCTGATGCTTTGAGGCAAACGATCAAATGTGTGCTTTAGGGCAACCAGCCTTTCATCCCAGTGGCCTTGGAGCCGACTCCGCTGAGGGATGGCACCTGAGGTATGGTGCCAGGTGCGTCCTTGGAGAACTGTGCTCCCCAGGCTGTCACCTGTGGCTTTTCAGTGGCAGATGCCAGACCTTTCTTTGAAGCGAAGAGTGTTGACTGGAGCACTTGGGGACTGTCCGGAACACACAGCGGTTTCTAGAACAGTCAAATGGTCGGTCGTCCGTGAACTTACCACTGAGTTCCCTGTGTCTGTCTATTAACCATGACATTGTACGGTATGTGAAGTATTCGTCAGCAAACCTCTTAAAAAATAAATCAATCCTATCGAATAATAGGGTAGCTAGTGATTTTACTAATTCAGGCCCAAAATGGAAATCAGTTTCCTATTCATTTGATTTAGTTTTGTGCTTCTGGAACTGGATAATTAAAGACATTAAAGTTGTAATTAAATAGTATATTTTCTTCTTGGTCAAGGCAGCAAAAAAAATTCCATGCATCTACACCAATCTCAAAAGCATAATGTTGTATCTCTTAAAAAGCAAGTTGTAAAAGGGTATATGTAATAGTAACAATTTTTAAAAATCATTTTATTGGGGGCTTGTACAGCTCTTATCGCAATCCATACATTCATCCATTGGGTCAAGCACATTTGTACATATGTTGCCAACATTTTCTTTCTAGACCCCATGGTATTAGCCCTTTATTTTTCCCCCTCTCTCCCTCTCTCACGAACCCCTGATAATTTATGTTATTATTTTTACATGTCCTCACCCACTTTTCTATTGTTCGTCTCCCTGGGAGGGGATAGATCATTGTGATTGGTTCCTCCTTTCTCCCCTCACCATGTATGTTAAAAAAAAATACCAATAAGTAAATTCAAACTCATGACAACTGTATAGAACAGGGTAGAACTGCCCCTTTTAGTTTCCAAGGCTTTATTTTAAACAGTTTTATTAGCACTTCACCCACAGGTCCTACAATTCAATAATTAGTCATATCAAGAAGTTGTGCAATTACCACCACATTCAATCTAGAACATATCCTTCTGTGTACTCATTGCTATCCATTTTCCTAATTGTGGCAAAAATATATACAACAAGAGACTAGCTGTTTACTGGAACGGAAATCCCCGTCTACCTCTTGAGGAGCAGCTGGTGGTTGGAACTATAAACCTTGGGGCTGGCAGCCCAACGCAGAACCACTCTGCCACCAGAGCTCCATAAATCCATTGGGCAGCTCACGTGTTTCTGTGTTAAAAATACAAGGCGACCATGGGAATTGTCTGCACTCGTGGTTCAAAACCTCCCAGAGCATCCAGGTTACCTGGAGGGTGGCTGAGACACAGGTGGCTGGGCCCCACTCCCAAGCTTCGGACCCTGTTTGGATGGGACAGAGGCTGAAGAACATACATGTTCACAGACTCACAGGTGGGGCTGTGGCTGGACTCCCGGAACCCCAGTCTGAACACTGCTGTACCCCCCAACCCTCCCAATAAGATGCAGTGTTACTTGATGAGATGTGTAGGACGTTCCTGATCCGATCCTGTCTCTTTCCTCTGTGCAGACAAAAAGCCCGTTTGCTATGCAGAGCATGGTCTGGAACAGAGACGGAAGTGGGAGACCGCTGAGGAAACGGGTGCGGGAGCCCCGGTGAGAGCTGATGTCACCTCGTCTAGCTGGGAGGCCTCCAGGGAGGTGAGAAGTGAATGAGCAGCCAAGAGGCGGCTTTGGGTGCTAAGGGCTTCCTGGGTGGTCAGAAAAAAACGGTTCGCATGCTTAGCAGCCAACCAAAAGGTTGGAGGTTCAGGTTCACCCAGAGGTACTTGAAAGAAAAACCTAGTGCTTTTACTTCTGGGAGTTCAGCCGTGGAAAGTTGTGTGGAGGGAAGCTGGAGTCAGCTCGATGCACACAATCATAGTAACTCACAGAACCCAACACTGCCCGGCCCAGCGCCATTCTCACAGTTAGTTGTCCCTGTGTGAGCCCTTGGGTGTAGCCCCTGTGGCCATCCATCTCAGTGAGGGCCTGCCTCGTTTGCAAGCATGCTGCCCTTCTCTGGGTCTAAAGATGAGTCCAGAAAGCCCTCTGGGGCAGTTCTCCTGTCACCTGGGGGTCGCTTTGAGTGGCTTCCAACAGCAGCAGCAGCAGGGCATCAGCATCCTCTCAGCGTGACACACTCCATTCTGCAAGTAGCCTCTGGCTAAGCACCCAGAGTCACAAGTCCCCACCCTCCAGGGTCCTTCCCCAGGCCTCCGATGCCCTGGGGGCAGTAACTAAGTCAGGGCCCGGACCTCTTCCCGAGGGCGCAGCGTGCTTTCAGCTGGGGGAGAGCTGGTGCCTCCTCGGAGCTCCTGTCTTCCAGTGCCAGCATCCCTTCTGCTCGCCAGTCTCCCTGGCCTGTTCATCAGCTCCTGTCCACAGCTCCTGTCCAGGACGGTGACCAAGGCCGCAGCCTCTGCCCGGCCACATCCACCCTTCAGGCGTGTGAAGAAGCCGCCTTTGGTGGTTAAGTAGCTTTTGCGTGCAGTGGTGGAGCGCCCGCTTCCCATGTGCAGACCTAGTTCTCCTCCTGGCAGCGAGAGCCTGTGAGCTGCAGTGAGGCTGACAGGCTTCAGTGGCGCTTCAGGACCAGAGTGCACGAGGAAGAGTGGCCACCGGCCTCCAGAAACCCGCCGCGGAAAGCCTCGGGGCCCACACTTGGACACACACACCTCCCACCCACACACACGGGGCCACCTTTTGATGGTTCGTTTCCACTGACCCACTGCTTCTTGTGGCGTTGCCACCTTTCAGGACCTCACGAAGACGCCGCCGCCGGCATGGACAAGAAGCCCCAGGAGCACAGACAGGGCGCCAGGCCCCGGGAAGTCCCGCCCGTGGTGCTGCTGCTGCTGGCGATGGTGCTCATGAACGCCCTCCTCTACCTCTGCCTGGACCAGTTCTTTGCCTCCCCGCCGCAGCCCCCGGGGCAGCCCAGCCGCTGTCCGTCCGGGTACTTCCGAGTGGGGCAGATGACCAGCTGTTCGCCGTGGCTGGCCTGTGAGGAGCTGCGCACGCAGGTGCGGCCGTTGAAGCGCGTGGGGGATGGAGCTGTGAAGAGAGTGAGTGGCAGCCCGCCTCCGCCTTGGCTGGCCCCTGGGGGCAGTGTCCTTCCCTGTCACAGAGCCCTGCCCGTGTTTCTGCCCGGGCCTCCCACACATGGGGGCTTGTCCCACTGAAGGCACCCGAGGGAAGAAGCAAGCCAGATGCATGAAGGGGCGCTTTGCTGGGCGACTCAGGCTTTCAGGAAACGGGAACAGTCATTACAGAGGCATGGGTCATTCAGTGATGGCCACGTGAGGACATGTTCTCAGCCATTCAGAAACCCCACTTAGCAACATTCAGAAAGAGATCTTAGGATGGATGATAAGTGCACAGGGGAGGGGGAGGTGGAGGTGGCAAGAGAACCACCCCAGCACCGTGGAACCCAGGGCCTCGGCAGGGCTCTGTTCCCTCAGACAGGGCTCTCTGCTGTTCTCAGGGCGACATGTCTCAGACATCCCACTCAATGCCCACCCCCCGCTGCCCAGCTGGTGCCCTCCTTCCATCACTTATTAAGAAAACAGAAGCGAGTGTCCCCACCATTCCCACCACCAGCCCAGTACACCTACCAGCCCAGGCATTGACCCCTGCCTTCTCATGACGCCCCCCCACCATCATAATGACTCATCGCTCAGGAGTCAGCGTGGGTAGGACTCTTCCAAGAGGGCTCTGTGGGACACACAGTCTAAACCATACCCCTCGTGGCCTCTCTTAGAAGGGCAAGTTCCCTGGGGCCACAGGTGTGTCCTCTGCCCCTGGCCCCAGGCCACAGAGCACGTTGTAGGGGCACAGGACGACGGATCACTAGTTGGATCCTTAGGTAAAACAAAATGCCTGTCTAACTTGTACAGGCTCCTTAATATATAAATGCATCCTTGCTCTCTTCTCTCCAACGCCGTGCTATCTTGGTCTGTTGGCACTGGGTCCTCTGCCCGGAGCAGCATGCCCTGTCGCCTCCGGCTGCACAGATCGGTTTGCGGAAGGCAGATGACCCGCTGTTTGCTTCCTTCCTTTTTAACCTCGAGAGCAGTTTGTGTAATCAGAAGATTTGGTAGGGACAAAGATCAGAGGACACATTTCCCACACCGTCTCTGCTCGCTCCCTCCCCAGTCTCCTTGCTCGGGGAGAACAAGTGGCGAACCATATCGGTGAGAGGCAGACCCACGGCTCTAGGGGCTGCCCATTTTCTAAAACATAGATCTAGGGCAATGGTACCGTAGCAAGGTCGCAGTAGTGCCTCTTCGAGCAGAGGGCAGGAGCTGCTGCCGCACCATGGTGGGCCACCACGGCGTGATTGAGGTCAGACCCGGCTCCGAGCTAGCGGCCTGCTCATGTCCAACACAGTCTCCTTCTACGGGCCCTGCCCAAGGGAGTCACAGATCACTGTTGGGAACTAGAATTTTCGTGGGTGAGTGTTTTTATTATTATTTTTCTTTTCTTCTTAAAAATATCGTGGTGAGGGTGTCCCCAACAGAACTCAGGCCGTCTCAATCATCCCTGTGTGTACGGTCTCAATAACGGGGATGGCATTCTCTTAGGTCACGCAACCATTCTCCCTCTCCTTTTCCCAGTCACCCCACCACCTGGAGTAGGAGCTCATTGTCCTCGAAGTGAAAACACCCCTTTTCCTCCAGCTTCCCACCGCTGTTGTCGTCAGGTGCCAGCCGTTCACCTCCGGCTCACAGCCACCCAGTGCACAGCCACCCAGTCCTGCGCCAAGCTCACCATTGCCCCATTGCCCGGGCTCATGGTGGCCTCCGTGTCAACCCCTCTCCTTGAGGGCCTTCCTCTTTTTCGCTGCCCTTCTCCTCTTCCAAGCATGATGTCCTTCTCCAGGGACACCTTTCCTGCCCACATGTCCAGAGCATGAAAGACAGAGGCTCCCTGTCTTTGCACCGAAGTTGTGCTCTGGCTGGGGCTGGCTCCCGAGACAGACTTGTTTGTCCTTTTGGTGGTCCACAGTCCTTTCAATATCCTTCTCCTGCACCACATTCCTGCCGCCCCTCCCCCCAATGACACCAGATAACCTTTGGCTTCTGTGTATTTACTTCCTCTTCTTGTCAGTGAGACCTTACAGCCTTTGCCCTGCTGGACGGCTGGTGTTTCTCAGCATGCTGCTGTCTAGGGCCACCCGGAGGTGGCATCCATCAGGACCCCATTGCTCTTTTCTGGCTGACTAGTATTCCATTGCGCGTTTACACCACCTTTTTACAGTTTTGAATGCTTTGTTCCCCTTTCCCCTTCTTTAAAATTAAAGCACGCAGGAAGGATTTTGAATGGATCAGTGAAACGAAGAAAGCCCACTGCAATATGATATGTATGGTAGAATAATCTCATTGGTGCCCAAGCAAACCAAAATGCTGTTTTATAAATGTGCATTGTAATGCATGTTCTGCTCAGGGAGGGATTAAAGTTTAGATTACTCTGCACTTGAATTTTTACCAAGCTAGGTCTTCCTGTATTGACTTTACCATTCGAAAGAGAAAACAGTTCTCTGTAAATAAGAGAGTTCTGGGAAGTGTTCTAGAAGCCTCTAAGTTGGAGATTACAGGGACATGGCTCCAACCATCTCTGATGTGTGAAGACAATGTTAGAAGGTGCAAACGTGTGCGGGTGAGCCCAGAGACAGAATGCTCTTTTGTTGATCTGAGGCTCAGACGTGAATCCCACTTAGGCAAGGGTTCAGGAGGAAGTCCCGTGGCCTGTGGCTGAGCCGCTCCCATTCTTCACTGCTGACTGTGCATGCCAGCTTCCCTAACTCAGCCACTCGTGCCAGGGTGGCCATGAGGAAGCAGGTGAGAGGAAGGGATGGATCCTAACCCAGAAGACTTTTGGGGTCCCATTCCAGGGTGCTGTGGGTCCACAAAGAGCAGGTGCACACTGTGAAAGGAAGGGAAAGGGATTCCTAAGCTTGTAGCGGATGTACTAACCCTATGGGGGGAAAACTCCAAACCTTTTTTTATAACAGTCTTATCGACATGTAATTCACAGATCATACCATCCACTGATTTAATCATACTAAACAGTTGTGCCGTCATCACCAGTCAAATTTAGAACATTTTCCTCTTTCCCGCATTCATTCTGAATAGCTCCTCATTTACCCCGCATCCTCCCCTGCCATCACCCTAAGAAATGCTGAATCTTAATCCACCGATGAAAATAACTTTTAATAAGGATTATGATCCTTATTAAATTAGATCCATAGTGAAATTCCTGCTGCGTCGGTCCTGAAAGGTTTCTCTGAGACGTTGTGGGCGGCGGTTGCTACTGGGTTTTATCTAAGAACCTCCCTTCTCAGATCCAGACACGGTCTTCCAAGTCCTCTCGCCCACCTCTCTATGGCATTGCCATTTGGGGGTTCTTTATAGAACATTTTAATTGTGAAAGTAGTACACGTTCATTATTGGAAATTTATAGGCGCCCTGGAGGCATACTGACGAATTGGGCTGCTAACTGCAAGTTCAGCAGTTCAAAACCACCAGCCACTCCTCAGAAGGACGGGGCTTTCTACTCTGGTAAAGCAGTACAGTCTTGGAAACCCCCAGGGCAGCCCCACTCTATTCTGTGGGTTCACTGCGAGTCGGCACCGACTCAGTGGCAGTGGGTTTGGTTTGGGTTTTATGTGTAGGAAATTTGGGAAAACAACAAAAGGATGAATGTGAAAAATAAAAATCACCCAGAATACTACCCTAAAAGGACAACTGAACGGTTGAGCATTATCTTCCATTTCTCAGCAATTTGATGTTGTCTTTTTTTACACAGTTGGGACAGAACTGTGTGAGCCCCTCCCTGTGTTTTGTCTCGTTTGCACCATCACTTCTGTCTGTGTCAAATGTCAAAATATGTGCATTTTGACAACTCCATAATATCCTACCAGCATGTATTTAAACGCCGACCAACTTCTCCTCTTTTGATGGATGGGCACTGGTCCCAGTTTCTGCTGCTTTCCATTCCAAGTTCTTGTGCTGTATTCCACGTGATTCCCTGGCACCCTCGCTCCTCTCCGCACCCTGTGTGTTGCAGGAGTTTGGAATTAGTAACCTATTTGCCACCTTACGTTCACCCAACAAATCCTGGTCGTCATTTACAGAACAACTTCCAAGAGCCTCTAATGACAGTCAGCCCCTCCTCCCTCCTGCTCTAAGCCTTTACTCACAGATGTGATACTTTCCTGTGGCACAGCGGTTAAACACTTTCTTGCTAACTAAAAGGTCAGTGGTTTGAACCCACCAGCTGTCCCTTGGTAGAAGGATGAGGCAGTTTGTTCCTGTAAAGATGGACAACCTTAGAAACCCTATGGGACAGCGTGCCCCTCTGACCTGGCCTGTCTCTGTGAGTTGGAATCAACTGGACAGCAGTCCGTTTGGGGTGGCGCTTCCCACACGGACTGTGGAGCATTTGGTCACAGCCAGCCTTGGGGTCTAGACGAAGGGCAACTCCGGGGGGACCCGTGTCTCCTGCATTTCTGCCCCACCCTGCCACATCTGGGACCAAGGCAACATCCTGGGAATTGTATCGGGCTCACTGGGTTGGGCGGGAGTTGCTGTCTGACGCTGTCCTGTGGCTCTCTTCCAGGTCTTCCTGTCTGAGTGGAAGGAACGCAAAGTGGCCCTCTCGCGGCTCACCAGCCTGGAGGTGAGAGGGGACTTCCTGCATGGCCTGCAGATGCTGAAGTCCCTGCAGAGCCCGCATGTCGTCACCCTGCTGGGCTACTGCGAGGAGGACAACACGATTCTGACAGAGTACCACCCCTTAGGTTCCTTGAGCAACCTGGAAGAAACCCTAAACCTTTCCAAGTATCAGCACGTGAACACGTGGCAGCGCCGGCTGCAGCTGGCCATGGACTACGTGGGCATCATCAACTACCTGCACAACAGCCCCCTGGGCATGCGGGTCATGTGTGACGCCAACGACCTGCCCAAGACGCTCTCCCAGTACCTGCTGACCAGTAACTTCAGCATCGTGGCCAATGACCTGGACGCCTTGCCCCTGGTGAACCACAGCTCCAGGACGTTTGTCAAGTGCGGCCACAGGGAGCTCCGTGGGGACTTTGTGGCTCCTGAGCAGCTGTGGCCTTACGGAGACGACCTGCCTTTCCACGATGACCTCATGCCTGCGTACGACGAGAAGATCGACATCTGGAGGATCCCCGACGTCTCCAGCTTCCTCCTGGGGCACGTGGAAGGGAGCGACATGGTGCGATTCCATTTGTTTGACATCCACAAGGCATGCAAGAGCAAGACCCCAGCAGAGAGGCCCACTGCCCAGGAGATTCTGGACACTTACCGGAAGGTTTTGAATTCCCTCCGAGATGCGGTCATGACTCAGACGAGAGAAATGCTATAGAAACCCTCCCCGCCATGAAGGTGATCATTGAAGCAGCTCTCCTTGCGTGGTGGGGCTGCTGCAGGGTTTGTGTTGTTTGTTTTTTGCCTTTGGCTGGTGTTTTGTTGTTGTTTTGCAGTGTAGCCAGGGGGTTCTTCACCCCCCGCCCTGTTAGCGTCTGAGTGTGTTCTCCCCCTCCTGGCAGCATGGGCTGCAGCCGTGGGGACAAACATGCAGACTTGATCTACATGTGGCTTCGCACCTGTCACCCCGACTGCTGCCTGGGAAAGATACAGAGAAGCGGGGACTCTGCCCAGGTGTTCAGAAGAAGCCACAGAGAGGCTTCACCCGCCCGAACGATGGGCTTTACAAGCTCGTAAGAAATGTGTATGTAGAAACATTCTCAGTGGCATTCTATTAAAGAAACCTCTAACCCCCACCCCGCCCCCCAAGTTTTAAAATGGTAAGCAACGTACGGGGTCCCCAGATGAGCAGTGTGCTTACACAGTCTTAACGGGATAATCTTTACTGTGGGGATGATTGCTCTGTGAAGCTCCTCCACTTTCTTCTCGCCAAGGAAGTAAAGCAGAATGCAAATAGAAATTGCTTCCAAGTTTTGAACGGGAGGGGACAGAAATGTTTAGCACAGCACCAAGGAGAAAAGCCATGCGTTCTCCTGCCTCGTGAAGCTCTCCAGCACCGATCAGCTGCATTTCAGTGTC